CGTCATCAGGGCCTCTGAAACGTTTGTAACCATCGACCATACTACACAGCGCAACAACCCAGAAGACAGAAAACTTCATACTCACCGCTGTGAAAACCTCAAATCTTACAAAACGTATGTAAATGTCTAAGAATGAGAAACTTAAATGTATATATGTGCGCCATAAAATTGAGACCGCTACAATTAAACAAACACACAAATGGGTGAAAATAACGATGTCTTCCATGGGACGTATCAGTATAATTCCACTTACAATAAGGCTTCCGGGTCTGTACGCTTCCTAAGTGTCTCTCATTAAATATTTGTATCCCACCTTCTACGCAGTAACAGGGTCACAGGTAACTGCTGCCTGGCTCCGAGTAATTAACATATAAAAATCTAACCTACTGAAAGATTCACTCACTACGCATGCCCTAACAGACTCGCCCTCTGTTTACTAAGTGGTTAACCCTAATAAACCATAAAGCTCATTCCGGAGAGTTATTCTGAAGAAAATGCTACCTCACACGCCCCGACTGTACTAGTTGCTACTGTAGTTTACAGCGCAGCTTGGCCTTAATGGTTGCGAAATATAATTAGAAGTGTCCAAATTCATCTGCGCATTACACGTGAAGCAGCAGTTGAGTTAAACATACGTATCTTGTTATAATTTGTGAGAATAGTTTCGATTCTTAATTATTTAAATGTTCACTTTTAAACAATCGGTCATTTAATCACGTGCATGAAATGGTTTGTGGTAAAAGGGGGTTTTGGAGTAAATATTGTATGTAATTAAAATTAACTTCGGCAATAACCCACATGTACACGATACAAAAGCAGGGCTGTCGTTTGACAGAATATATCTCTTTGAAATCTCTGTGATTCTCAGTTCTCATTTGACAGAATATAACTCTTTGAAATCTCTGTGATTCTCAGTTCGTTGTCTCTAACTCACACTTGATTCCCGACATTCATAAAAAGTCAAATCACGATTCTCGGAATCAGTTAATTACGTAAACCGAAGCAATAGCACTACCTAAGCGAAACTCCATACGTACATATGACAGCAGATCAGTTCTTTTTCTTGTTAGATTCTTCACTCTATCAACACAGAATTTCATCTCTCCCACAGTCCTCCATTTCAGTTTTAAACAACCTATGCATCGGATAAAACATCGCTAACTAAAAACAAATTTGTATCTAACGTCAATGTTAACTAAGCGTTCAAAGCAGCACAAAACGCAACCAAAAAATTGACATATGTACACTCCAAATTTAAACCACATTTTCTTCTGTTTATATTCCCCTTTCACGTCGGTTTTGTGAATTGGTCATACCACCAGGTTGAAGAACGCGAAGTGCAATATACCCGTATTTCCAAAAAATATTTGTGATACATACACATGTGTGTATTCGTATTCAAAAGATGCCGGATTTGAATCTCCACGGGGGAGCAACAGTTGTAACTTAAAATTCTATAATTCAGCAGGCCACAAATGCCGAATTGTTTTACTACCCCTGTTTACAGCACACGATGACGAAGAATCAGTGGAATTTCACAGAGGAAGTAGCTAGCTATCGTTTGAGGTAAAAAAACTACTTCAGGCAGGCAGGACGTAGAGAGAGAAATATATTTACATTCTCTTGTGAACTCTTGCTGCAACTCTGCGTTCACAGTCACTTTTGCTCCGAGGTGCTTCGCTGCTAGAACGGGTTAATTTATTTGTGCTAGTCTACTCGTACAAGTGATTGTGTCTCTTAATTAGTTTGGAAACTACTCTTCTTTGAAAACAATTTAGCGTTTATATTCTATCAACGACAAAGAAAATGTAAGAAGTGGACAAAACATACAAGCATGACTGTAAGTGACATACTCTTAAATACTGCACTTTTCTTTACGAACATCTAGTGGTCTAATCGTTTCAGATCCTCTGTCAGACTCGATCGGATATTTTCAAAAATTATGTTAGGTTCAGTTGGACTCAGTCCGAAAATCTTAATAATTTAAGTTAGACACAAATAGAATTTAATCCACATGTTCTGTCACATTTTCAAATTTTTACAGATCCTACCTCTTTTCGGCCTCACTTCAGTCCATCCCTGTATTGAATGTGATTTTTTTTTAAATTCAGACAATTAATTCGACCAATTTATACGCCATACGTCAAAAAATACAAAACCAGAGGTGGTTAGTGCATGGGATTGAAAGTGAAAGAGGGAATAATCGTAGCTTATTTTAAGGTACCATCTCGGAGAAAACCGAAGAAAAGGTAGGTCAGCACGGTCGATTCACTTCGGAGACTGTAGCAAAAGTCCTGAATTCGAGTCACACGCGCTGTCACTCGTTAAATCTCATTCACAAACAATTCCGCTCACTGTTCGCAAAATCCTTAGTTTCGCCATGATCGTCTGTCCGTCCGTCTATCTACGAAGATTGATATTAGTTCTTCTAAAATTTGTCGACATACTTTAACTTTGGCTAAGATCAGACAGCATTAGCGGACACTTCAAATGGAAATAAATGCATCCGGGGAAGATAAGCGTTTATAATAAATATTTATCGATCGATCGATCTCTAATTTCTACGTCGTTTCTTCGTACATTTTATTACCACTTACAGAGGCATCTACCAAAACTGTGAAACGGCTAAGCCGAGGTTTTCCTGCAGTATTTATACTCTTAAAATATAGTTCATATTACGGGGACACCTGTCCCTAATTGCGAATTGTGATTTTCAGCTAATGCGCCTTCTAGTGCCACCCATTTTACTTGATCGTCTCATTCCATGTGTCACGGTCATCTCCTGAACGACGCACTTTCTCTCACAGCATGCACATCTTTAATCATGACCTGGGACGGCATGAGGATCAGGTTTCTTGTTATGTACTCCGTGTTAACAACAAACTTCCTGGCTCTGAATGGATCTCCGATACCGACCAACCTAGAAGTTCTTCCTGACAAACGATCTTCAGACAAATGTCCGGAGATAAAGGACCAGAAGACATTTTCCATCAACAACTGCACCTACCAATGGCCAGAGGCAAGTAGAACGATGGTTTTATCTATGTGTTTGCTAAAGAGAAACTACGAGCACGGAACAAGGTAACATGATGATTAAATGACCAGTTGCACGACACAATGCTTTGGGAAAAGATAAGAACGGACAATTCGTCTAGACAATAAACTTAACGGATTTCGACGAAGTATTTTGTTAAGCGCTACTAATAACACCCACACTAGCTTAAAGCAAACCGAAGCCCTTGTGATAGTCTAACTTCCAATTAAAAGGACACTACCTACTACTACTCTCGACAAAGTTTGGACTCATCAGTCCTTCAGGGCCTCAATGTATACGTGCACACATAAGTACGCATGCGCAAGCATGCAGACGTATTCCACATTCACATACATATATGCAATATACACACCCGTTCAAATTTACTATTCTGTTTTCTTGTACTGCCTCGGTTAAAGGTGCAGAGTTCAAACACAATTAAAACGGCTTTACATTGAGCGGGAATTATCGGAGAGAGGACTGAATCATCTCAGGGTCTCTACCTGTAAAGTACAGCACAGATATGCGGAAATATATTCATGTAATGGGAGGGATTCGAACCGCCGATCGCATATTTCAATAGGCAAAAGGCCGTAAAAGTTTTAGCGCGGCCATTGGTGTCAGTTGTAACAGGAAACAGACCTACCCCGGACATCAAAGAAGGATGTGCAGGCCTGCTTTGCCACATCCGGACAGTGGGCTTACCTTATCCTTCCAGTGTATCAGCTTCTGGCTATCAAGCAAAAATAACAGGAAGAAGAATTCTTAAATCCTTTAAAGCACAGATCAAAGAACTGAGCCACTTGTGAGAAACTCCTAAAGATGACGTTCTTTGTCCAAGCGTGAATGTAGCTGCTAATTCCAGCAACAGAATTCGAAGTAAAATTTGAAATTAAACGGTTCCATTATCGGAAAAGTAAAATAAATTTACTGCTTAAGCCTACATCTGCCATTTGTGTCCCAAATAACACAATGAACTGACTTTTCAATGTCACAGTCAGTAAACAATGTTGGTGAGAAACACAGCAGAAAATAATGTTTTATGATAAAATACTGTTATGCCAGTTGTGTATACATAATTTCCATTTCGATAACAGATAAATTACGCAAACTGAAATATTCGTTTTCGTACAGCTTCAAACGTTTCCTGCCCCTGTTCTAGACCGAAGCTCTACCTCTACAGAATCTACAACCCTCAACACAACAAATTAAAAGAATCTCGGAACTCAGCTGGCCCACCGAAAGTCTGTTACCAAAAAGGGGCTATTGTTAATGTATTTTCAATTTAATGTTTGTGCGTTAATTTTAATACAAATACTTTCAAATTTTAAATTTA